ACATTTATTTATTGTGTGTGTGTGTGTGGCCAGCTCAGCCCACCAGGGGGCGGGGCTGGCTGGCATGTGGTGCTGGGGATCGAACCGTGGTCCCTGTGCTTCGCCAAGCTTGATTCAGGTAGGTGCTTTAGACCACTGAGCCATCTCTCCAGCCCCTCTCAGTCCCTTTTATACCATACTTCTTGCCTTTTCACCCAGCATCAACTACTTCCTTTAGTTCCCCTTTTTAGTTTACTGTCACTTTCTCCAGGACATAATCATGACCTTTTTTAAAAAATTTATGTATTTAGTACAGTGTGTACAGGGTCTCACTACACAGATTGGATTCGTAGTAATCCTCCTGTTTTCAGCCTCCCAAGCGCTGGAATTACAGGTGCATGCCACCACACCTAGTCTCAGTCCATGTCTCAGTGAGGGGCTGGGAAGATGGCTCAGTAGAATAAGCTCTTGCCTGGCAAGCTCTAGGCCCTGAGTTCAATCCCCAGTTCCAGAAAACAAAGCAAAAAAACACAAACAAACAAACAAACAAACAAAAAAACAATGTCTCAGCGTACCTCGGGGGTGGGGCCAGCACAATGCACCAGGGATCTAACCCAGTTCCTGCTCCTGCCTAAGCAGGCACTTTATTCTGCTGATATCTGGCCAGCCCTATGACCCTTCCTTTTAAATTTTATTTGATATAGGGTTTCGCTACACAGTTCTAGTGATCCTCTTGTTCAGCCTACGCAGCACTGGGATTACAGGCGTGAGCCACCACACCAGGTTTCAGGGCTGGCATGGCATGCGGTACCGGGGATCAACTCAGATCCTTGCACTTAGGCAGACGCTTAGATCTCCAAGCCATCTCCCCATCTTGTCCCTTCTATTTACTGTCCAAGAGCCTTGCACTATCTTACATAACATGGTTTTTCACTAATTACATTTTGTTCTTCTGCCTTCCTGAGGCACACAGTGTAGCACATGTCACAGGACTATTGTGGCAAGTCAGTGATGAGCATAATGCTCTTGGGGAGAACAGGCACAAGACATGAGTCACAGGTGACCTAGTGTACTCAGCTCCACCACAGCCACCCTACCACCTAGACTCTTAACCTTCCGGAAAGCAGGATACTCATTCATAGACGTAATCAAGACTCCAGGGCATTCTGACAGAACAGATATGCTGGGACCTAACAGGGAGCAGTTTTGCTTTGGTCATCTCAAAGGGTGCTTGAAAGCTGAGGGGATACTAGGCATAATGGCACCTGCCTGTAATCTAAGTACTGTGAGGGGCTGAGGTAGGAAGGTGCAAGTTCAAGCCAAGCCTAAGCAATTTAGTGTTCTTTTGTTTTGTATTTTAGGGAAGGGTCTACAGGGTGTTCAGGGTTTCCCTAGACCGGACTTGTAGTGATCTGCTTGTTTACAGCCTCCCAAGAGCTGGGATTACAGGCAGAAATTTAGTGTTTTAGCAAGATTTTGTCTCAAAAAATTAAACACAAAAGGAGGCTGGATGTGATGGTGCACAACTATAATCCCAGCATTTGCTAGGAGGAGTGCAAGCAGCTGCTAAGGATCCTTGGAGACCTAAGGACACAGTGTGTGTGTGTGGGGGGAGGTCACAGCAAAAGTCCTTTGCTTAGGGCCAGAGACAAAGTTCTTGACGAGTTGATTCAGACATAGGGTCTTGAGCCACCAATTTTGGGCAGAATTGCTGGGACCCAGAATTTCTGCCCCATACTGGTATCATTCAGCTATCTCTGGATCTTGCTTGTCCAAGTATAAACTATCCTCCTGGTGCTAAGGAGGGAGGTGTTCTGTCTGTGACAGCGACTGGCTTTAGGTGTGTCTTGAGATTACTGGTGGAAGGATCCAACAGATAGAGGGATGAACCTGAGTGGTAGCAGCTGGTTACTAAGATATGCCTTTATCTTTTTTTTTTGGTGGTACCAGAGATGGAACTCAGAACCTTGCACTTGCCAGGTAAGCACTTATTCCACTGAGCTATCTCCCTAGCCAATATGCCTTTATTTTAGAGGAGTGCTGGGTACCAGATAGTCAGAAAGGTCAGTTAAAATGTACATTGATTATACTCTGAACATGCGTGACAAGGTCAGCCAAATAGCTCAGCGGATTAAAGCACTTGCTTAGGCCAGGGTTTTTTTTTTTTTTTCTTTTTTTGCGGAACCGGGGATTGAACTCAGGTCCTTGCGCTTGCCAGGGAAGGGCTTATTCTACTGAGCCATCTCCCCGGCCCCAACAGCCAGGGTTTGATTCCCCGGTGGGACATGCCTGCACTGCCCCTAGGGTGCACTGAGCCAGCGAGCTGGCACATACCTATAATCCCAGCTCTTCAGAGGTTAAACACAGGCGGATCACTACAAGTCCAAGTCCCATCTATGTAGTGAGACCCTGTACTAAAAACAGAAACAAGGGGCTGGAGAGATGGCTCAGGGGAATAAGCGCTTCCCTGGCAAGCACAAGGGCCTGAGTTTAAACCCTGGTTCTGCCAAAAAAAACCACCCCAAAACAAACAAAACCAAAATAGGACTGGCAGTAACTGGCAAGAACTTTTTCAGAGCAGGTAAAAAACTAGGTATATTAATTATTGTACTGTCCTACTAACCTGTTCTGAAACTGTCTCATTGCTATTTTGCAATAAAATTAATTAAAAAATAAATAAAAATAAAAAACACTGGGTAGCAATATGGAGAGTAATGGATTGCAAACTTACAATACTGGATGAGTTTCCAATTGTGTAAAATAGGCTTATGTGTGCCTAACATCTGGAGGAAATCTAGTTTGTGAATATTTTGTGAAGGTCTTTCAGTGTCCAACTCCTGATAAAGGAGAGGGTTACTATTCCAATTTGGTGGCCACAGAATAAGACAGGAAAGCCCATATTGGGGAAGAGGCTTGTACGTTACAGGTTGGTGCCCAAAGAAAGACCTGATGAATGTAGCTTCAGAGGTCTCACTGAGATTAGTCTCTCTCCAAGTGAGCCCAGAGCCTCAGAAGCATCTCACATTTATTAGGGGGTAAAGGCAGGCTAAGGAACATGCAAAATTACTTAAGTGAATGCAAACTACTATCTCTATTAACTTCCACCATTTGCCTAACACTAGGTTCACACAAATGCTAGCCCAGATGACATCCCAAGCAAGGGATCAAAGAACAGGATGCCAGCAGGAGAGACTGCTATCTGCAGGCTTGTGTCCCAGCTTGCCGGCGTTTACAAGTGACAGACAGCAGCTCTCCCTGGGCTGTCTATTGTTCCCTGCTCTCTTGGGACATTAGACTTTTGTCTAAAATCTGTATTTCTATAGAGGCTCCCACCTGTAGGGCAAGGAGGTTGTAGGAAAGGAGTCCCAGATAGCCACTGCCACAGAACACACACACACAGCTGTGTGATACACAGCACTTTATTAGAGGGAAATTATTTTGGTCTGGGCAGAGTAGAGAGAGGCAGGGTGGACAGGGCCAGTGCTCATCTCAGGGAATTTCCTGGGAATCAGATGTTCCTCTATGCAGGTTGAGAGGAAACATCTTCATGGATGAACCCCCAGAAGAGCAACTGCCAACTGCGAGGACAGGATGGGAGGGGAGCCCTATGCCGGGCCGGGCCCCTGGGACAGCAGGGCTTCGATGTCAGGCTCAATGTCGATGGTGGGAAAGCGGCGGCTGTATCTGCGAACCGGCACACCATCAGGGCCCACCAGGAACTTCTCAAAGTTCCAGGCCACGTCGTTGCGGCACACCGGGGACCAGATGATAAACTTGGGGTCGGTCATGAGCGCAGTGGGGTCGTCGCTGGGAGCCGGAAGGGCCTCTCGAAGGAAGGTGAAGAGTGGATGTGCCTTCGCACCGTTCACCTCGCACTTCTCGAACAGTGTGAAGTTGGGCTCGAACCCACCACCGGGCCGGACGTATTTGAGCAAATGCAGAATCTCTTCGTTCTTGGCGTTCTCCTGAGAGGAGGTTAGTTGGGATCAGGGGCAGCATGGAAAGGTTGCTTCTAATCACAAAATGGAATTTTCCCATGAGTCACCAGAATGGCGCCCTCCTTGCACCACCCGGGGCGGGCCAGGGGTGAAGGTGCTACGTGCCAGTGGCCTATGCCAGTGGCCTGCTTTTCGGTGCCCCGGCCGCCACCCCACTCCTCCCAAACTTCCCACCCGCCGCACCTGGTGTCCGAACTGGTTGCACGGGAAGCCGAGAACCACCAGGCCCCTAGGTCCAAGGCGCGCCTGCAGATCGTTCATCTGGGTGAAGTCCCGGACCGTGGTGCCTCAGAGAGACGCCACATTTTCAATGAGCAGCACCTTGCCCCGCAGGGAGCCAAGACTCAGTGGCTCCCCACCCGCTAGCGGGCGCGCGGAGAAAGAGTACACCGTGGCCTGAGCGGCCGCCACCAACCGAGCAGCACACATGGTGCAAACAAAGAACACCTAGCGCTCCAAACTAGACTAGAGGGGAATAGGCAGTTGCCTTTTAACTGGAAGGTCACGTGGCGTCTACACTTTTCCGGGCGCTCAGCTCCTCCCTACTGACGGTCACGCCTCATCCGGCCACAGCCCGGGTGGGTGGGAGTACTCACCCTCCCCACAGCAGGGTCAGGCGGGAGGGTGCGGCTTGGCTTAAGGCAGCTCCACCCCAGCGGCCAGCCCACAGCTTGAGCATGTCTGGTCTGGCCTAAAGGCTGTGCGGCTTACTATTGTTCTCCAAGGTTCCTTAACTAGGGTGTGGAATAGAGTCTTGGAGAGCGGCTGCTGAGCAAGAAGATGCAGTTTCTACAACAGCCCTTATCCTGTGCCATGTCACCCTCCCAACATGTACCCCTAACCCACTGTTGCCAAGTACATGGGGCTTCAACTTGTGACAATGGTGTTCATCTGGTGAAGAAAAGCCACACCTGGCAATTTTTTGACTTTTTTTTTTTTTATTTCAGCCTGGGCTCAAACTCAAGACTGGCCTTGTTTGAGGTAATCCTATCTCAGCCACACTAGTGCTGGCATTACAGGAATGTGCCACCAGGCCCTGCTACAAGGATGTTGTTTTGAGTCATGGTCTCACTATATAGTCCAGGCTTACTTGGAATTCGCAATGGTCTTCCTGAGCCGAACCTGTGTTGGCATCAGAAGTGTGCCCCAACACACCAGTCCTCCCGTGGTTCTGAGGGCAGATTGCTGGGCACTGGCACATGCCTGTGGAGGCTGTGGCAAAAGGATCACTGCCAATTCAAGTATGCCCCAACTACATAGTGAGACCTTGTATCAAAAGACAACAGAAAAGGCAACTTGGGAGGAAGGCAGGAAATATTAGAGGCACACAGGGCTCCAAAACAAGTATTTTTCAAGCCTCACATCCAGGCTTCTGGTTTTCCTCCTTTCTGTCCCTAGTGCCACAATGTCCTTATACAGGTATTCTGGCCTCCTTAAATGGACTGAAGAGCTTAACAGGGCCAAGGAAACTGAGCCTAGTCTGCTCTCTCACGGTCTCTTCCCTGGGGGCTTTCCACTCAATCCCCTAACTTGACTGTGGCACAGAACGGTCACCTCCTGGGGAGGAGCCAAGCTAATGATGGGTGATGTGTGGCACAAGTGGTACTTTGCACCTAGTGAGTACTGCCAGGAGGGCCAAGTCCTTCTACCCTCCTGCCCTCTGCCCTGGAAAAAAATCAAACACAGGATACAGAAGTTTAGAAAACTGCCTTTATTCTATTAGTTGGAAAAATTAACTGGTACAGAAAAAAAGTTTAGTCAGCTGGAGAGAAGAGAAAAACTGAGTACCATCCCTGAGAACTGATGGCTTCTCGGGGAGGGCACCTCAGTAGGGGAGGAGAAAAGAGCGCTGTGAATTAGAGCCAGGCCCTGCAGCCCAGGTGACAAAGGCTATGCCATCTTCAAACAAAATTCCTAGTTACTAACCCAGTTCTGGAGAGGGGAACTAGGATATGTGGGGCCAAAAAGGGGCAATAGCCTTCTTGTATCAGACAAAGTGAAAAAATGGGGATTTTAAAAAATGAATTTTCCATCTGACTTTATTTCCAAATACTTTGTTAAAAAACAAAACAAAACAAAACAAACCACCAATACATTCTTTGTGGTAATGACAAGTATCAGTCCTAGGAAATCCAATTATACAAAAAATACTATATCTAGTCTGGGTAGATATATTTATTTTTGGTAACATACATTAAGTGGCACTAATTACATGGTTAACTATAAGGTAACTAACATGAAACCACAGAATTGTAACTCTGCCACAGCTGCATGGACTTGGGGCTTCTGGCTGAGCATGTTTTCAAAAAAACTGTCTGCCCACCCCAGAGCTATGCCAATAACTCCATGAGGAGTAAGTCTCTGAAGTGGGGACTCATCAGAATTCCCTGCAACTGACAGATTAGAGGCAG